TTTATTTGTACTGGTACAAATAGTAGTAGCTTTGTAAATTTCTATATATAGTGGTTTAATAGTTAGCCCTAATTACAAGTAGAAGCCTTGGCAACTGCACTATAGTAATTTATATTATTACTATTTAAAAAATTATTAATAAAGATATGAGCAAGGCCTTACCTTAATATCAAAAAAAAAATAAAATAAACTCTACAATTTTTTTATAAGGTTATACAAACAAATAAAATTGTTTTTTGTTATTTAAGTAGGTAACTTTTTTAAAAAAATTAAAATTTTTTCTATATAAATTTTTAGAATGATCTTAATACTCACTAGAGGTAAAATTCACCAGTTATATGATTAGCCAATCAAATCACTAGATCTTTGTATAACAGAAATGAAGAATTTTTAGAAAAAAAACAAAAAAATATTAATATTTTAAATTTTTATAATGAAAACTTGCTTTATGTCATTAAGTAAAAGTTTTAGTGCTTAATTTTATATATAATAAATATTCTAACTCTAATATAGTCCTCGCTCTAACTCTAAAGTTAATGAAAAAAAATTTTATTAGAAAATAAACAAACAAAACTATATACTAGTTAATTTCACCTATAGTTATTTTTAAATAAATTCAATTTTTTATTTTTGTATAAAAAAAAATTTAAAAAATTTTTTATATAAAAAAATTTTTTAAATATAATATTTTTTGCTAGCTAGTTAGATTCTATTAGCTTGTCCCATGTAACAAGAAACAATTAATTTAATTTACATAGTCTAAGTCTAAAAATGATTTATTTAAAAAAAGATTTAAATATAGTATTCTATATTTAACTTAATAGTAAAATTTATTTATAAAATTTGCAAATCTTCTTTAGATAATAAATAGATTATCTATTAATATATAAAGAAAAAAATATCATATCTTCAAAGTTTATAAATAATCAGCAATTTTTTCATATACCAGTTTTGTATAACATTTTGTACACCAATTTTGATCGACCAATAAAATTACTAGAAAATCAAAATCAGTACCACAGGTAACATTATTAGTTTGGTATAGGTACAAAAATACTTATTTAAAAAGCTGTATCATACTGATATAATATTATTTTATTAGAATAAAAGGTGTAACAGATTAATATAGTATGACTTTTAAATACGTACGTAGGCACTTTGCACTTATACAGAAATAAAGACCAAATGGAGCGGTTATACTATAATACGTATCGGGATGAAGTCATATTAAACATATATATAAATAATTAAAATTTTCTAAATATGGTGATGCGGTAAAGTATGGTAATAAGTAGCTTATCTTGTTTGATTTTTAAATTGTCTATTGATTAAAAATCAATTCCAAAATTTACAAAACTAAAGCTTTAGCCACCTATAAAGTAACAGTGCACAATTCAAAAGACAATTATTGTTACTGTAAAATTGCTTTTGAATTGTGAAAGTCCAAAAATGATAATAATATAAATGACGCAAAATTCAAAAAAAAATAATTAATTACTGTAAAATTGTGGATACCTATATGAGTGCTGCCAAAAGAAAAGGGCACCTCCGTTTTTTAATCAATTATTGATTCAATAATTAATTAAAAAATAGAGGTGCCCTTTTTTCTTGATAGCACTCATATGACACAGTGATATACAAGATTAAAAGTCCGATAAGTAATAATAAAGTATATATAATGTTTTAACCATCACAATCGTGATTTTTTTTCTCTTATACATCTCATTGTGCAGACATACAATAATAAAAAAGAAAAAGTGATCGTTAGTGAAAGTAACCAAAAGGAAGTTAAATAAATCCAAAGTTTTATCTATTGAGTTGGCACTCTGCATTTTTTCATAAAGAACCTTTATGTGTGTATAAATTTTGTCTTTTGGTAATTTAGATAAGGCATAAAGAGATATTAAATTTTAAATAATTCAAGTTTATTGCAATATGAACAATATATTGAAACCTTCTGATACAATCGATACTAGTACTGTTGAATGTGAACACACTTTCTCAACTTTCGCTAAAGCTTGTACAACAATTGAAAGCTATGCAGCACAAACAAATTTTGTTATAATTTTAGGAAAAACAAAAAAAATTCAGATAATAGTTATAAGCAAGCACTTTTTGTATACGAAAAACAAGAAAAATATACTGGAAACAATGACGCATATACCACCAAACGTATTGGATATTCCTTCGCTATCAGCATATATTATCGCAAACATGACAAAGAATTTGCTATTACTAAGTTATGCCTGAAGCACAACCATGATCCTTGTTCTGATGCTACAAAATTCAGCAGTGTTATAAAAAAACTTGATCAAAATAATCTCAAATTGATAGAAAAACTACACAATGATAGACTTAGAACAAAGAACATTTTTTTAGTGTTGAATTCTGTTAGCACAAAATATATTCATAAACCTGATGTTTACAATACCATAAGTTGTCAACGACAGTTGAAGTTAAAAGGTTTAAGCGAAATCAAAATACTTCTCAAAAATTTGCGTGAGGATAAAAATATTATAGATGATATTGCATTAAAAAATATATTTAATGACGAATGAGACCAAGACAGTGAATTTATTTAGGCACTTTTTTGGGCATATCGCAATGCGGTTTTTGAGTTTGCAGTAGGAAAAGACATTTTGATCATCAATGCAACTTACAAAACCAATAAGTTTTCAATGCCCTTGGTCGCTATTTGCAGTATCGAT